CCCTGGCCCGGGGTCTAGGCGGACGGCCCCCTGCACCAGCCCCGGCGAGCGTCTACGCGGGCGGCTCCCGGCACCAGCCCCGGGGTGTCCGCGCGGGCGGCTCCCGGCACCAGCCCCGGCGTGTCTGCGCGGGCGGCCCCCGCCCCTGGCCGCGGGCGCGTCTACACCGGCGGCCCGGCACCTGGACCGGCGTCCACGCGGGCCCGCAGTACCTGCGGCGAGCAGAGGGGCGGTCTGACCCCGCCCCGCCGTCAGGGGCAGCAGCTCCTGCCGACCTCCACAACGCCACCCGGTTCCCCTGGACACGTCCACACTGAACTGGGGGTAGGGGAGAGCGGTGCAGGCTCTGGTTTGAACGCTTTTTTTCCTGAATGGCCCCATTTTCATATTAAGCCCTCGGTTCTCAGTCCAGCATTCCATTCTCAAATTCTTTGGGTGATAATTTTGCCAGATTTTCTGAATGGGATTAACACAGGCCGTTCAGAAATCGTTTCTGAGTTTGGCAACCGCTGCCCTGATGGGTGCTGTTATATTTGAGCTGCTTTCAGGACCATCTTTAGTGTGTTGTTTAGAATTGTGAACCTTCGTCTCGTTTTGGTTGGGCAGGATTAAACAGTTCTATTTTTAAGAGCAGCGAAGAAACATATGTATTTAATATTGGGACCATGTGCCACAGAAATCACATGAGGCGCGGTTTCTTAACCACCAGAGTGGCTTAAATACTGGGAATTTGGGATTGAAAAGGAATTTCAGGTGGAGGAAACGTTCATTTGCCACTTTCACCTTCTCAGGTGAGTTGAGGAGTTTACTAAGGCAGCAGATTTCACTTTGAGAGCCGAAGAAATTATGTTCTTATTATGTTTCATAAATCCTATTTATGGCAAGAGTCCTGAATAGTACTTGGTAGCTCTTTCTGCGCACTGAACTAGATATCTTTACGGATTTATTTTGAATTGCTTAGAAAGCCTATTTTGTTTTAAATTGTTGACGCTGGAGTTCAGGCCCCATATTCCAGAGCAAAGCTACGCTCTTCAGAGGCAGCACTTTTGTGTGCTTTTTGGTTCCTGGCTCTCCTCTGCACCTTTCCCCCAGATGATCATACTTTTCTGTCTTTTCTTCCTCTGCCCCGGTGCCCCCAGAGCAGCGTCTGACATGGATGTTACATGAGCCACTCTCAGGGTCGCGTGGAGCGTCTCCCTCGGTGAACTAGAGGAAGATGGATGAGTCGGCCCTTCTGGACCTTCTGGAGTGTCCCGTGTGTCTGGAGCGGCTCGACGTCTCTGCCAGGGTCCTGCCTTGTCAGCACACGTTCTGCAAACGGTGTCTGCTGGGCATCGTCGGTTCCCGCAACGAACTCAGATGCCCCGAGTGCCGGACTCTGGTTGGCGCAGGCGTGGAGCAGCTTCCAAGCAACATCCTGCTGGTCAGACTTCTAGATGGCATCAAGCAGAGGCCTTGGAAACCCGGCCCTGTGGGGGGCAGTGCCACCAACTGCACAAACGCCTCGAGGGCTCAGAGCAGCGCTGTGGCCAATTGTAGCTCGAAAGATCCACCTGGCCCCCAGGGTGGACAGCAGCCTCGGGCGCAAGCCTGGAGCCCCCCGGTGAGGGTGAGTAGCCTGAAGAGGCGGTGCGGTGGGGTGACGGTACTGATGGCCGGTGTGTATTCTTTAGTCTTTGGATGTTTTCTAAATCAGCTTATGGCTAAAGAAGCCATGTTACTGGAACAGATAGGAGATTGTGCCTTGGGAATTTTTTTTTTTCTTTTTGGAATGAGATTGGTTATAAATAAGTTTTCTTGTTTTTAAAATTCTCTCCCGGATGGTGGGCCTCTATTACATTTGAAGGTAAATCTTGGGAAACAGTAGCAATTATTCAATGAAATCTAAAATACAGAAGTTTTTTATGCCGAGTTTAAAATGGAAATTTGGTGCGGTTTTACCTTTTCGATGGCGTTGGGAGGGAGAACCATGAGTGTGTATGCATGTGCGCATATATGTAGACGTGTTATACATATGTGTGTTGGTAGATCACAAGTAGGACATTGAGCTTTAATTTTTAAGTGGCTTGGAGCCATTCTGTTGGTTTTATGAATGCACAGCACAGAATTTTCTGGTTGGAGGAATTCTTAACAAATCATGGCCACAGGTAGCAGAGTTTTGTTGCTGTAGCAACAAAATGTCATTGAGAGCCATGCTAAGACAGCAGAGGATGTAGCTTTATGTTGGGTTTTATAGGGAGTGAAACGAAATGTTTCCATCAGAAAGATTTTTCTGGGGTTTTGGGTTTGGGCTGAAATAATTTGAAGTGAGGCTAAATATCTGGGCAGTTACCACGACTGAAATTTCTAGAAGGTAAGGTACTTTGAAGAAATGTAAATTATGTTGCCGGTGACGGCACCCCGTTAAGGCATGCTTTTCTCATTTTTGTAAACCTGAAAAGTAGTTGTGGACATTCGATAATTAAAGCAGTTCCAGTTTTGTCGGAAGAAACAATCTTGATAATTGGCCAAACTGAGAGAATCCATTTTTAAAGAACAGTTAATCTGGATGAGAATTCTTTTTTCAAATATTCGTTGTAAACACTCAAAACTGCCTTTTTTCATGTGAGGAATAACCCTTTGGGATGGCATTAACCAGTGTAAATTCACAGATGTGGCCCTCTGGGAGCTGTAGGGAATGACTACCTTCTAACCATTCCTTTCCTTTCTTAAGTTTATCTTTTACAAATGATGTATTTACATCACTAGATGGAGAGTACGCAAAGTGTTTTAATTGCCGGAAAACAGTTTTATCCCCAGGCTATCAGGTTTCTTTTGAGTCATATTTAATTTTTTTTTTTTTTAAGTTAGTGAGAACTTTGGGTTCTGGAGGTTTTCTTTGCTTATTGGAAGCCCCTTGGTTTTGAAATTCGTCTGCTTACGGGGTTTTCTTAGATTTCCTTCTTTTAATGGAGTTTACACGATTAGTATCTGTGGGCTCATGAATATTTCAACCTCAGAACCATCGTTTCTGAGACACCTGACCTAGGTCTGCTTCGCTTAATTAGGGGGTAGATTTGCTTCCTTGGAGGGATTTTGTTTCCTTGTTAATTAGACTGGAGAGGCCTAGCTTCTGGCTGTGAATAGAAGTGTCTCAGTTGTTGACACGTTGCCTTACCTGTCGTGAGGAATGTGGTGAATGTTTGATTACTGATAAAAAGGAATTTAAGAAGAGGGCTCAAGCATTCAGCTCAGTGTCCTTTGGATTTTAAGTTTTCTTTCTGATGTGGAAACTGACAGTGTGATGTTGGAATGTTCATTTATTTGAACTGCTAATCTCCCAGAGTTGAGCTTCACGCTTCTTAGGTACATTACTCTGTGATTTTGATGATGTCAGTGTTATTTTTCTGGCTGATACGATTTTCCTGATTTACTTTATGTTTCTTCTTTGGCATGAGAAAAATTACTTGCCAAGAAGCTCGGTTGAGCTTGAGCCTTATAATTTGGATAAAGTAGTTGAGGCCAGTAAAAGCAGGAGACGATCACGTCTGTTACTTTCGGGGGGTGGGGGGCACAGAGAGTGGAGGACAAGACAATGAACAGACAAAATTATTCAGTAATGTGGGTTGATGCAGATGCTGTAATTCTTGTCAAAAGCACTTCTTTTCCCCCCAAGTCTAAAATAATTTCTCATTAGCAATTACTGGTACCTTCTACTTTGAAATATTCAAAACAACCAGGGCTACACAAACAGCCCAAGGACCTGAAAGATATATACATTTCAGAAAACGCTCCTCTCATTCTTTACTTTATTTTATTTTTAAAATTTATTTTATTGAAGTATGGTTGATTTACAATGTTGTGTTAGTTTCAGGTGTGCAGCAAAGTGATTCATTTATACATATACACACACACACACACACACATATATATATATGTTCTTTTTCATATTCTTTTTCATTATGGTTTATCACAGGACATTGAATATAGTTCCCTGTGCTCTACAGTAGGACCTTGTTGTTTATCCATCCTGTATATAATAGTTTGCATCTGCGAATCCCAAACTAGAAAATACTTCTTTTATTTATTTTTATTTATTTATTTTTTTGCGATACGCCGGCCTCTCACCGCCGTGGCCCCTCCTGCTGCGGAGCACAAGCTCCAGACGCGCAGGCCCAGCGGCTATGGCTCACGGGCTCAGCCACTCCGCGGCATGTGGGATCTTCCTGGACTGGGGCACGAACCCGTGTCCCTGCATCGGCAGGCGGACTCTCAACCACTGCGCCACCAGGGAAGTGAGACCCGTGGAGTTGTCAGCCAGCCCCTGGGGTGTCCCCTGGGTGAATGACATCATAAATCCTAGATCCTCAGCTGTTCTGACTCGACCCGGGGGTGTGAGAGCCTGTTCCCACGTGTGGTGGAAGCCAGTGCTGATACCACGTGGGATGCTGTTCGGTAATTGGTTATGTTCCGCATTCCGTTAGATCGTGGCCATGTGGCTTCCTCATGCGTGTACCTCAGGGAGACTGGGTGTTATCAGCAGATATGAACATTTCCAACGTGTGACACACATCTTGTTCCCAGAATTTTAGTGTTTCCTGCCTCATAGGAAGGAACCAATGGAAGAGCGCTGGGTCGGCGTCACCACTGGAAACCACCAGCTCTTTACTCCAAGTAAAGAATCCCTGCTGGTTTCGCGCCAAAGTGGACCAGTGGGATGAGGTGCAGGGAGCGGGTGGCTGCAGATGCTTGCTTCCATGGGCTGAAAAATACCTGCAGAAGGTAGATTTTATATATATAAGTATGTACAGAGTTCGATGTGGACATGTTTGATTAATCCCTACAGAGTTGTGACCTAATGCAATAAATTTCTGCTTTCTAGCTGTGGCTCCACTGGTTCCAGGTCTAATACCTGTGCGTGTATCTGTCTGTCTAGGTGCTGATACTTAATGATTTCACACTGCCGCTCCCTCAGGGCGAGCATATTCAGCAAACACTGATCACATGATCCCTGATTTACACTAACTTGCACTTGTATTCTTTCCTTTATCTAGCAAATATTTATCAAGCACTTACTAGGTACCAGGCACTGCCCTAGCTGCTGGATAGACAGTGCTGGTCAAACCAGACACAGATTCTGCTTATGAACCTGTGTGTCTGGTGGGAGAGGCACACCTGTAATAGCATGATAACAGTGCAGGTAGGTCATTACATGTGCTAAGTGTTAGGCTGGGAGCTGGGGAGATGATAGGCTAGGGCCTGGTTTAGTGCGTGTGTGTCTGTCTGTGTGTCTTCAAAAGCTTCTACAGGCCGAGTCCTTTGAACTGAGGTCTTAAGGGTGAAATGGTATTAATTAGTTGAGAGGGGTTGGCGGGGAACAGGACAGTATTCCAGAGGTCCTGACCTATGGCCGGATGAGGCAGAGCTCCCAGGAAGAAACAAGGACAGTGAGTGAGAACAAAGCGAGGGAGGGGCTAGTGACCTAAGAGGAGGCTTCTGGTGCAGCACTGGGCCGGGAGCCACCCAGGACCGCGTGGCCATACTGGTCAGTGCCCTGCCCTTGGGGCCAGAAGGAAGGGTCCTTGGGACCGAGATGGCCGTCCGGCTCAGGACATGCCTGGAGTGTGCCTCAGAGGCCTGGGGGACGGGGAAAGAAGAGGGGCACAGGGGAGCTTTCCCCCCTGCTGCTTTCATTTCTCCATAGTGCCAGCGCCCTGTCTCCCTGCAGCTGACTGTTAGGGGCTGAAACGTGTCCCCCCCGGCTCATAGGTTGAAGTCCCGGCGCCCAGGTCTTCAGTGTGAGGCTGCGCTCAGGGGTGGCACCTTCGAAGCGGTGCTTAAGGTGAAGGCAGCTTACGCGGGTGCGTCCTGATCCACAGTCTGGCGTCCTCCTAAGAGGAGATCAGGACGCAGAGCCGGGTGGAGGGGAGACCCTGTGGGAGCACGGCCGGCCCTCTGCACACCGAGGAGAGAGGCCTCTGGGGCAGCCAGCCCCACCGACACCTCGGTCTAGCCTCCAGAATGATGAGATAAACGCCTGTTGTTCAGCCGGCCGGCCTGTGCAGCCCCAGTGCCGCCTGCGGATGCGCTCCTGCGGGTCAGCCCTGCGTGACCTCGGTCCTCTCGGTCCCCTGCGCGCCGGCAGGGCTGGGCCTACAGGCCTGTGGGAGGGCGGGGTCAGGCCTCTGCGCCCTTGGATGCTGAGTCACCTCGAGTGGACCTTCAGTCCCTGCCAGCCCCACTGGTGGAGCCTGGCCGGCTGGACTGGCGGGGGCCAGAAGCCGGAGGAGGGCGGGG